AATGCCAGCACTTGTGAGGTCCAGGCAGGAGAACCAGGACATCGGGGTCATCCTCAGCAAATTCAAGGCTGCCCTGGGCACAGGAGGTGCCGGCTCAAAACTTGGTGCGTGCACACATACGCCACTTTTTTGTCTGTTCTACAGTCAAGCATTGATACAAAAAATAATGTCACATCTTAAACTTTCCAGAGAATTCTACTTTTACCTTAAAAGGAGAAAATTTTCAAGAATAAAATCATATCCAAATGTTCACTTCTTTGTGATATTGTTTTAAGATACTGTGAAAGCTTAAGTCCTATTTCCTTTCCATTTTTGTAAACACAAAAAATCTCCATAACACAGGTATTATTAAATACAAACAAACCCGGGCTCACCAGACATTTGATGACTGTCTTTGAAGCGGGAGATAAAGGCCAGAGTCAGGGGAAATTGTTTTCAACCTAGAATATAACCCTAGGCAAACGCACAAACATGAAGGGAGAAATCAGTTGTTGCCAATCATGCAGGAACTTAAAAACCTTAACTCCTAGGCATCATTTCTTGGAAAACTACCAAAGGATGCATGTTACCAAAACAAAGCCATAAACCAACGAAGGAAGTCAGAGGAACTGAATAGATAAACAATAAGAGGGCTAAGGTGTAGCTCAGCGGTACAGCACTTGCCTCTCAGGCACAAGGTCTTGGGTTTATTCTCAGCATTGAAGAAGAAATGAAAAATTCAAACAAATAAAAAAGAAACTCAAGGAGGTTCCGAAAGACTGCTCTGAAGCAGACCTGAGGCAACGCCTTGGCGAAGCAGCCTGAGAAACTGTGAGGCCCATGGCATACGTAGCATATGGAGGACAGGGGGGAATATTATTGAAGGCATTTTATTAGTTGGTTTGTAGAAATGAGGACAATGAACAGTGTTATATCAAAAATAAATATTAATTATTAATTCCAAAGTGACAAAATATCAAGTAAGGAAGGAAAGAGCCACCTCAGGCCCCTCATCCAGGTCAACAGTTTTCATGCCTCACATGGATGCCCAAAACCTTGGATGGTATTAAGCCACAGAAAATACTTTTTTCTTATAAATCCATACCTATGAGAAGTTCAATTTAAGAATTGGGTGCAGCCAGGCTCGGGAGCACATGACTGCAATCTCAACACTAAGGAGGCTGAGGCAGGAGGACTGCCACCAAATTCTAAGTCAGCCTAGGCTCCAGAGTGAGAGGGTGTCTCAAGGGGGGGGGGATTAAACATAGTATTAAACATAGGAAGAGATCAACAGAGTAGTTACAACAATATGCTGTAGTAAAAGCTAAGAGTAGATTCCATCTAGGCGTAGTTCTGCCCATGGTGGAGGAGGCGCTACATAGCACCGTGAAACGACTCAGCAGCAACACAGCCATCGACAAGGAAGAACTGTCCAGTTATGGGGAGGGGGACGGAGGGCTTGGCTATAGACTGGGACATCTCTGGTAGTCTAAGTATATTCTCCTATGTTTTCACACTAGAGTGGTTGAATTTGTCTCTATTCGCAAACGTCAGGACAAGCTCACTGGGGTAAGTACACCGGCAAACAAAACTAGCTCTTCGTGTTTCTCATCTTGACAGAGTTTTAAAAAATAACTTGAAGGTAAATTATCAAATTTTGTCAGTCAGCAGGACGATATCGAACAACTCCTGAGGTTGCTCTAATAATCCTATTTTTAAAAATAAATAAAATTAAAAATAATCTTTAGAATGATGTTCTGCCTTGGCAGAATTTTGTCAACAAATTTCAAGAGCACCAATTTTATTTTACTGACAAACAAAACCTTTTTAAAAATCCATTTGGGTGATTACCTTTCTTTTAAAAAAAACTATTTTATAAAGTATTCATTCCCAAATGCATAATAGACGTGGCCAAGTGAGGCCAGATGAGGACGGTGCTGACAGAGCAGAAGGAACAGACATAGTGAGAATGGGAAGGGGGAGGAGAGAGACACACGAGGCACAAAAGCAGTAGGCAGGCACCCTGTCCAGTCCAGGGCTGGGCAAGTTCCGCCCTCCTACCCACAGGGTGACAGCACAGCCCTTTCAACAGGGCACCGAGGACATCTGGAACATCTGGAACGCGTCTGCAGAAGTGCAGTCTGTGAAGCTTGCCTGGCTATAAAACGTGATAAAAGCCCATTTGGGTTTCAGAGTATAAATATTTGGAATACAAAGTGGGAAAGGCCCTTGTAGGGTCACATGAATGCTATTAGGGCCTGGAAGGCTCCCAGGACTGACAGGTAACTCTGAGGACTGTCAGGGACAACTCAGAAGAAGGCTTATCTCAAGGTTGGAACCAGACCTTAGCATGAAGGATACGCCCGAGAAAGCTATCTCTACTCCTGGGGGTGCTAATAAGTTTAGGAGCTGAAACTGTCTCCAGTTTCTTTATGGGTTTAATCAGCTCAGACTTTTCTTTCTTATCTATTATTTACTGAGTTGAGGCAATTTTATCCTAAAATCACAAAATGCATTGTGAGGTCCTTATATTTCTCTAAAAACCTACTGCCAAAGGACAGACCAGACTTCTGTTTGGAAGAAATGCTTAGCTGTTGTCTGGGTTTCAGATAAATCTAGGTCATAAATAATGCCCCAAGGTTTGTTACTGTTCTGTGTGTGTGTGTGTGTGTGTGTGTGTGTGTGTGTGTGTGTGTGTGTGAAACACACTATAGAGAAAAGGGAAAAGGCATTTCCGGTGGGGTCAGGGAGATGGCTCAGCTGACCACAGAGTTGGAACCCTGGGGCCCACAGGACAGAGGAGAGCTGTCCTCCGACCCCCACACAAGCTCCACATACAAACAAACAGCTAACTCAAGCGCCATGAGGGACCGCTGTCCCCTGTAGACGGTTCCAGCAGGTATTATCCTCACCACGTGGGCATCTCATCCCATCTTCTAGAAGGCGAGCACTGGGGAGGGACAGAACTGACTTCACAGTTTGGGACTAAATCTCTGACACAAAACAACTTAAAACGGGAAAAGTTTGGGATTGGAATATAATCCTTTGTTTTGCTTTGGTTTTTTTTGTTTTTTTTTTTTTTAGTTTTGGTGCCATCCTGAATGTAATTTTTCACTTATTTCGTGTGTATGTCAGAGGACAACTTGTGGGAGTCAGCCCTCTCCGTCCACAACTCGGGCTCCAGAGATGGAGCTGTGGGCCCCACGCTGGCAGCAGTACCTTTAGCTTCAAGCCACCTCACTGACCCCACGCTCCCATACAAATAGTGGCCAAGTGTGCTCACATCCGTATTAGCCCATAACTGTCCATTAGGGAGACTGCCTAGCACAGAACCTTTGGGGATGTCCAGCCTAACAGAGACTACATCTTGTAATTCAACCCTATTAGGTGCCTACAAATGTTAAAACTGTTTTATCTATATAAATATGTAACTAGTTATAAATCTGTTTATATAGTATATAGATAACCAGTTATAATATAACCCTGACCTAACGTTCCTTCTCTTCAGAATCTCAAATCAATTTAAGAAGCAATCTAAAATTTTAAGTGTCTTTTGGGAGGGGTGGTGGTAGTTGTTGTTTTGAGACAGGATCTTGCTATATGACTTGCACAGCCTGGAACTCCCTATGTGGACCGTGCTGATCTGGGACTCATAGATACACACCCACCTCTGCCCCCCAGGTGCTGGGACTAGAAGCACATACACACCGCTAGGCCAGGCAAGGGTTATCTACTTTATGTGTGTGAGGGTTCTGCCTTAGTGTACATATGTACATCATGTGAGTGCCTGGTACCAAGAGAGATCAGAAGAGGATGTCAGATCCCTTGCAACTGGAGTTACAGATAGTTGTGAGTTACCACGTGGTGGTTGCTGGGAACCAAACCCAGGTCCATCTCCCTTCCACATTTTTGTCCAACAAATATGGATGTTATGACAGAACGACAGCCTAGGAGCTCAGGGGTTGACGTTCACCTCGGGACATGACGGCAAGAGAAGGCCCAACCCATCAAACTGAGTCTGTCTCCTGGTTAGGAGAAAGCTGTCACTGCAGAAGGTTCAGTCTCTGAAGACACATGCCTCACAACCCGTGGGTACAACTGTCAGCTGACAGAACGACACGGTAGCTCCTTGGGAACAGGGACTCTTGCCACTTTATACACCCCCTGTGCCTGCCTCAGTTCCCAGCGCAGGCACAGTGCTTAGCTTGTCTGACTTGGGGATCTCAGAGGGTTTTGTTTCATTTTGTTTTGTTTTTAAGTGCAGCCCATGCTGGTCTTCAACTCAAGACTCTCCTGCCTCAGCATCCTGTACTGGGACTGAGCCACCACACCTGTGTGAACTCCCTGTATAGTCTCAATAATTAATGAACTAGTTACCTTTTTTAAAAATGAAGATGTTGTTATTTTAAAGTTGAGGGAGAGAGGACGATCTTAGGAAAACCCAGACTAGGGATCAGGGTTTAGACGACTTAGCTGGGCTGTCACAGCCATCTAGTGGCCGAACAGTGACATCACTAGCTTAGTGCGTTAGTGAATTGTTAAAACCATGGTTGGTTGGTTGTTGTCTATTTGCTTCTTACTTTAAGTAAACTGTAAAGACAGACTTTTTCCCCAGTACTGAGGATTGAACCCAGGACCTCAGTCCCAACCTAGGTAAACTAAAATTAAGAAGTGATAGCACACCTTTACTCCCAGCACTTGGGAGGCAGAGGCAGGTCGGTCTCTGAGTTCTATAAAGCAGGTTCCAGGACAGCCATCACTAGACAAGAAACCCTGTCTCAGGAGGAAAAGAAGAAGCGATAGCAGCTGAGTGGGGGGGAGTCCAGCTGCAAACCCAGCACCATGCTGAGGTCAAACGATCACAAGTTCAAAGTCACACTGAACTACACAACGAAAATAAAGCCAGACAGCAGAAAAAATACGGAGAGGGGAGGAGTCACAAGGTAGGGGTTAAGTTCTTGGGAGACTGCAGGAAGACTGGCACCAAGGACAAGAAGGAGGTGCTAGGGTGGGTCCTGTACTTGTCAAAGTTGACGTCCAGCATGCCCACTTTCTCCTGGCTAATTCGTAAGAGTGGCATGTCCAGCCGTCGAATGCAGTCCTTGTCCAGCGTTGTTGTCCACTCTTGGAAGGTTTTCCGAACCAGCTCATCAATGGCTTGAACCATCTGCTGGTAGGTGTGGACACTCTCCTCTCCAGTCCCAATGTGGGGCAGGAAATGGGCGCCAGCCAGGCACTGGGGGAGGAAGAGATGGGAGCCGTTTATCCAGACCTACACGTGGGATTTGTACACACACACCCTCAGACCCAGAAAGGAGACTGAGGGCTGGGGAACTAGAGGAGGACTGGACCAGGGGGGAGGAAGAAAAGCCCACTGAGGAGACTCAATGTGAATACGTGGCAGTCCCAAAGAACAGGGCAGACAAGAGACGATCGGAGACGGAGGACCTGAGGGTTTGTTCCTGAGGGTATTTCAGGCCCTGCCCAGTCATCTGCAGACTCCCCCACTCTCTCTCAGAATCAATCAGGTGATGGCAGGTAAGGAGTCAAAAACAGTTTTCCCTCACTGACACCCCTGCCCACCCCCCAATCCCAAGTACTGGGTGGATTCTGTGTCAACCTGTTAGGATTACAAGCATATTCCACCATGCCTAACACAAAAATTGTTATTTTTAAAATCCTTTCCTAATTCTTGTTCATCTGTCCCTATTCTTCCAGAGAGAGCAGGTTCTTGCTGCCCAGGTCTCTGGGTCACCAGGTATGTCCCTGATCTGTTACTCTAACTTCCCAAATGCTGGCCCTGTGTCTCCTCCACTTCCTACAGGATGCTAAGATGACCTTTGTTCCACAAGTCACTCCCACCACCTCTGCAAACCAAACCACGCTGCCCCTCCCCTCCTCCCACCTAGTCTCTGAACATAAATCCTAAGGACCCTGTCTGGACTCAGCACCACTCAGGCTGTACACAGCCATCACACTCAGGCCAGCACTGAAGACAGTCAGAGGGGCCGGACACTCACATTCATGACTCGGTCGATACGTCGCCGCAGGATCCGCACCCAGTGGGCATGTCCAGAATACTGAGCCATGTACGGCTCCAGGTACGGCCACTTCTTGTTCAGCTCGCGGTTCACCAGGGCTAACTCGCTATTAAACAGCATATAGAGGTCGACGGCCTTCTTCTCATAGGTCCGCATGATGGCCTAAGGGACAAGATGACACACTCCATGCAAGTGGGTCCCTTTCATCTCCCCTGACGGCCACACACAGCGGCGGCCGCATTCTTCAGAGATGTGGAAGTCACGGAAGCAGAAAGGTGGAACAGAAGAAAAATCAGCAACTGAACAAGAAGGGACGGACACATGGAGGAACTACAGGCAAGCGACAGGCCCCTGAGGTGGGGAGTCGCACCTCCCGTGTAGCCAGCCTATGGAAGGTGTCCAGGAGCAACACTCCGTGTTCTACATCCCGAACCATTTCAAAGGCTGAGGTGATCAAGTTCTGGGTCATCACCTCTAGATCCTTGACACCAGCACGGAATCTGCAAGGTCAGGGAGGCACAGAGAAGTGTGAGTGCCCTCATCTGCCGCCCAACGACATTCCCAGTGTGCTGTGCATCAGACCACATGTCAGGAGCATGACTGCATGCTTTACACCATGACACTGGACAATGCTGGGAGACGAGGCACAGGCATCTGCTGGTGTGGATTTTCAGGACATTGCTCGGTGTTCTGAAAGGTACACTCGAACCTAGAAACCTACCAGCCACCTCTCCTCTCGCCTTCCCACCCTTAAGCTGTTCCCACAGTCTTCAACTTGCGATCTTTCTGCCTCTGCCCCCAGATCCTGGGAGTCCCCTGGTCTCCTTTGCACACCAGGCCTCTCTCCCTGCTCTGGTTCCCCGCCTCCCTGCACGGCCCTGGCCTCAGCCTGTGAGTCCCTCACTTATTGTAGTCTTCATGCCAAGAGGTGTTCTTAACATCTAGGATGCCTCCACGAACGGCTCGCAGCATCTGCAGATTTCTATGAAAGATGTCCTCGATTTCAAGCAAGTTCCTTGTGATCTGTGGCCCCTGGGCACCAAAGAAGCAGGGAAGGGGACCCTGCTTACCATCTTCCCACCGGGCAAAGTGGTACTGACATTCGCAAACCTAAAAAGAGATCCAAAAGTGTGAGCCTTCTTTCTCTTCTGAACCCAGGCATCCCGGGTTCTTCAGCTTGTCTTCAGAAGTTCATGAACTAGAGAGGACCGTCCAGATGAAGGACACTGGGGTAAATCTTGCCTGAAGGATGAACTATGAGATGCTTAGGCAGTGATAACAGGCAAAAGCCAAGAAGAAAGAGGTGGTAGGAGGAGGTCACACAATCGTGCAGAAGGAGTCAACACGCCAAGTTCCGGGTTTAGACGAAGTGCTTGGCTCCTTATGGGGACTTGAAGGTCTGCTGACTCTCACGTCCCCACCCTGGCAGTGTCCCTACCTCAATGAGGTCCTTGCAGCGCTGCACAAAGGCATCTACTTGAGCAAATATGCTGGTCTGGTCTAGAACCCAGCCCCGGCTGGAGAACCTGCGGGAGGAAGACGATGGATTAAATCAGGAGCAGAGACACTATGGATCAGTCTGTCCGTGCAAACCTGGACTATATGGGCCTGGGTTCAGATAGGAGACCCTGAGGAGCAGATTCCCTGATCCCTGAGAGAAGAGACCCAAGGTGATCAGAACCATAGAACAAACACAGTCTCAAGTTCTAGAAGGTGGCCTTGCAGATCATGTAATCATGGGAAGAGGAAAGGGCCACGTGAGGCTCCTGGAAGGGGCTAGAAGGAGACCTCGGGGCTAGGAGCAGAACATCTACACTCAAACAGAGCCTTAGCTGGGGGTAGAGACTCCATAAAAGAGGAGGGCGTGAGAAGTGTCAGTCTTTCCACTGTGGGAACGTCAAGGATATACATGGATGTTAGGGGGACCGTCGTACTGGGTGTGCATCTGTACGGCACGTAGGTAGTGATCTTTCCAAGCGTGGCAACAAGAAATGCAGCCCTGCAGGTCCTCCTTGCTGGAAGAGACATAGCCCTCGAAGATTCGATCCAGAGAGATGGAGTGGCAGCATAGGCGGATAATTTCGTTGCTCATCTGCAGAGGGAGCCCAAAGCCTCCATTCTCAGCCTTCTCCCCACCACGCCCTTTCCTGACTCTAACTGTGCCTCCGGCCTTGGGTTCCTGAAGCCCATCTTGCTCCTCCAGGCACTCCGTGTCACGCACCTCGTCATAACCTTTGCTCTGTCCTCAGCCCAGCTCTACAGTTACGCTGCTCTGGCTTCAGCAACTCCTCTACCACCCTGTGTCTCCCCCGAACACTGTCTTGATCGTTCCTGCTCAGGAACCAAGTTCCTTCCCATACACCACTGCAAACTCGTCTGGAGAAAGGAGAAGAGGTCGTTCCTCCGCATAGACTCAGCCCAGATCCGTCTTGCCTGCTGTCCTAGCTCACTCCCACCTCCTTCAAAGCCCTCGTCCTGCTTGAGCCCCTTTAGCGAAAGCAAGCCAGGCCCAACCCTAAAGACTCAGTATCGGTCTGAGCTGCAGGGCTGTATTGGTTCCTTTCCACCATATATCTGCCAAGGGATCAGCCCTGCCCTATGGCAGCCCCACCTCACCCCTGTGTTTGGCATCCACACACCTTCCAAAACAGAGAGGCTCAGGGATCAGCCCTGCCCTCATGGCAGCCCCACCTCACCCCTGCACTTTGCATGACACACCTTCCTGAACAGAGAGGTTAGCCTTTCCCGGGTATTATAGTGGGGGGAGTTGACCCAGATGATGCGAATGAGACTGATCAGCTTCGGGAGCTTCTCAGAGATATCCTTAGGCTTCATGAAGGCCAGCTCCTGGTAGGGCTCCCTCAGGATTGACAAGAAAGTCAGGTTTGACTGAGCTTGGCGAGAGCCATCCTAACAATAGAGAAACCAGGAGAGACGGCTCAGTCAGTAGCGTTTGCTGCTGTGCCAACATATGAGGACCTGAGTTCAGATCTCCAGCATCCATGTGAAAGCTGGCCACAGCGGCCTGTAATCCCAGCACTGGTTTGGCAGGAAAAGACAGGCAGGTCCCTGGAGTTTGCTGCCAGCTACACTAGTCAATAGGTGAGCTCCATGTCAGTGAGAGACTGTCTGAATATAGGGTTGGAGCGATGGCGCAGACGTTAGGAGCACTTGCTGCTCTTACAAAGGACCTGTTCTTTCTGTTGCCAGCACCCACAATGATCATCTTCCTCTAACACCAATTCTAGAGACCAATGCCCTCTTCTGGCTTCCGAGGACACTGCATGCACATAATAGACAAAACATACAAGCAAAACATCCATACACATAAAATAAAATGAACGAAGTTTAAAAAAAATAAAGTGAAGAACAATTGAGGATGATACCCAACAAACCCCTCTGCTTTCCACATGCACACACACATGTGCACACACACACAAAGGTTCATATTTTCCATCCATCTCGAGCACCATCCTCTAGGCAGCCCTCCCAGTAAGCTCTCTCCAGGAGTTATCATTTCAAAACCAGAGTTCACTCATTCATTTTATTTTTTAAAATATTTATTTTTATGTGTGCAGGTGTTTTGTCTGCATGTATGCCTATGTACAGTGTTGGATCCCCTGGAACTGGAGTTACATTACAGATTGTTGTGAGCTGCCACGTGAGTGCTGGGAACTGACCCCAGGTCCTCTGCAAGAACACCTAGCACTGCTCGAGCCCTCACTTGCTTTTTTTATTTATTTACTTTTTTTTTGAGATGGGTTTCACATAGTCACATACTATGTAGCCAAGGATGACCTTGAGTCCCACCCTGCTTCCACATCCATGTGCTAGGTGTGGTTTAAAAGAAAATGGCCCCCAAAGGAGGTAGCACTATTAGGAAGTGTGGCCTTGTTGGAGGAAGTGTGTCACAGTGGGTGTGGGCCTTGAGGTCTTCTATGCTCAAGCTGCACCCAGTGTCACAGTTCACTTCCTGCTGCCTGCAGATCTCCAACACCGTGTCTGCCTGTATGCCATATCCCACAATAATGACAAAGGATTAAACCTCTGAAACTGTAAGCCACCCCAATTAAATGTTTTTCTTTATAAAAACTGCCATGGTCGGGCTGGAGAAATGGCTCAGTGGTTAAGAGCACTGACTGTTCTTCCAGAGGACCCGGGTTCAATTCCCAGCACCCACATGGCAGCACCACCTTCACACCAATGCACATAAAATAAAGATAAATAAATCATAAAAAAAATTTTAAAAACTGCCATGGTCATGGTGTCTCCTCACAGCAACAGAAACCCTAACTCAGACAGCTAGGATTGCAGATACAAGCCATCATACTCAGTTTATTCAGAGCTGGCAAATGACCCCGGGGTTTCATGCATGCTAGGCAAGCACTTGACCAGAAGAACAATGTCCCTTCTCTAACCCTTCATGTCCTGTTTCCTATGAAGTCCCCCAAGCCCAGATCTGGTGTCTGCTCCAGTTGAATTAAGAACTCTACAAAGTGGATGTTCAGAGCTGTTGGCGAGGTGCCTGGGCATCGCTCCCCTTCCACATCCACTAAGGTCACCCAGTCCCCTTACTGTCCCGTTCTCAGTGAGGGTCTTAAACTTCTCCTGTTTGTCACAGCTCAATTCCCACAATATCTGGTCGTAATTTTCACCTGGGAAGAAAGGTCTTCTTCACCCATCACTCACTTCCTGGGAGACCCAGCAGCAGCACAATCAGCTTGTCATAGGAAATTTAGTTTTTACATGTTTGTTTTGAGACTCTCATGCCTGAACTATGCAGGCTTATCCTTGGTTCCATGCTATCTCTAATTCCTCTTTTATGTAAGACCTATTTTCTCAGCTGCATTGGAGTACTGGGCTCACTGAGGGGGATTGCCATTTCCTTGCTGACCAATTGGATGTCTTCCTACATAAACAAGTGTTGCGCTGTTTAGGGGTGACGACAGAAGGGCACATTCAATACGGATGTAGTTTACAAAAAATTTGGGGGGCAGGTAAGATGACTCAGTGGGTCTGACGACCTGAGTTCCAGTCTCCAACTCCCACAGTTGAAGGGGAGAGCCAGCTCCTGCGGGTTGGCCTCTGATTTGCACGCTGTGGCATGCCTGAGGATACATGAGACCCTGTCTAACGGCACTGAAAACAGCCCTCAGGGACCTTTACACACTGCTCACATCTGCAAGTCCAGAGCCCTGGGTCAGTCTGTGCCTTGTGCTTAGTTGCCTGCCTCCCGCTTCTTACCCCACCCCAGATCATCCTGGCCACTGCCCACTGTCCCTAAACTCCCAGTCTCTGGTCCCCTCGACCTGGATCTGCTGGGCCAGCTTCATAAAGGGTGGCAGGTAGGACGACTTCGAGAGCCGCAGGATGGACTCGATGTGCTTCACTCCCTGCTTCACGAGCTGCTTGCTGATGCCAGACAGGTCCATGCAGCGATTGTGCCAGAACTCGATCTCCTCCAAAGGACCTAAGTTTTCCCCAGTCTCCACAGACTCCTGAGCACTCAGCACCTCCTTGATCTGCCGGGTCCAGTGAATCATGGAGGCTGCGGAGGAGAAGGGGGAACATTTCCTGCTGCTGAGCTGTGCCCTCAGCGCTGAACAGCTGGAGCTGCCTTCCCCACCCTCGCCCCTGCCCTCACTCCAGACACTGCCAAAGCCAGCCACTCACTCTCCAGGCGCTGTACCAGCTCCTTGTCCTTTACCACTACCTCAGGGTTCATGTTCATGGCCTCTGCAGGGATGTACAGGACGGTGTGACCCTCCAGCTTGTACCGAGTATCTAAAAAAGGACAAGGAAAGTTCTAAAGGTGAGAGCTTTGCTGCCTCTGTATAAATTATGATCGATGATCAATGGGGGGGGGCAGGAAGTACAGCCCCCCTCAAGTTGTCTAACTCTTGTGTATCCACAGGCTTCACAACTTCATGTCTACAATTCAAAAAAAGCTCCACTGTTTTCAGTGCCGTTAGACAGGGTCTCGTGTATCCTCAGGCATGCCACAGCGTGCAAATCAGAGGCCAACCCGCAGGAGCTGGCTCTCCCCTTCAACTGTGGGGGTCTGAGGCTGGAACTCAGACCATCAGACCCACTGAGTCATGTTACCTGCCCCCCGAATTTTTTAAAAACTACGTCTGTATTGAATGTGCCCTTCTGTTGTCACCCCTAAACAGCACAACACTTGCTGGCATTGTATAAGGTGCTATGAATAATCTAGAGGTTATTTAAAGTACATGGGAAGATATATGGAAGTTATATACAATTACTGCACCATTTCCTAAGGGGCCTGAATATCCACAGAATGGAGTATCTAAAACCAATCCCCACAGACAGCAAAGGCAGCATATGTATTTTAGGAGAACAGACAGGAGTAACTATGACTCAGACGTCTTTGGTATAGAGAGCAGAAGTAGCAGAAGCCAAGTGGCAAAACTCCAGGAGGCCTGTTAAGAAATTACCATAAAATAATTTCACTATCTGCGCCACATCCTCCACAATACGCACAAGTCCCCAACTGCCCCTCCCAGCGCCTATATTTCTCCTTATGCTTCATGTACGCAGAGCAGTCTCCAACTCCAGTTTGAGCAGGTCTGAACAAGTTCTATATTAGAAAAGTGTATCTAAATTAGAAGGCAATTTTTGCAACAATACTATATTCAGCATTGACCAAGGCTTTGTTCGGCAGCGTCGAGGATCAAGCTGCCGACCTCAGACATTTCAAGCAAACGCTCTACCTCTGAACCCCCCTCCTGTGACTAGTCTTTATTATTCGGGGATACTCAAATGTTCTTCTCTCTGTTGCTGTTTTGGTTTTTGTTGTTCTATTTTGTTTGAGCCTGCCCTGAAATTCACAGAAAGAGAGAGAAAGATCTTCCTACCTCTGCCTCCAGAGGACTGGGATCAAAGGCCTGAGCTACCACACCCGACCCTCTGAGGAGGTATTTATTAATTATTTATTAATATGAAATGCTTTACATTATGATACTTAAAGAAAAAGAAATCTGAGACAGTATTTTATATGATACCCCAAACAAAAGGATAGATGACACTGGGTTGGACAAGGGTGGCACATGCCTTTAATCCCAGCACTTGGGAGGCAGAGGCAGGTGGACCTCTGTGAGCTTGAGGCCAGTCTGTTCTATACAGTGAATTCCAGGACAGCCAGGGCTAAACAGTGAAATCCTGTCTCAAAAAACAAAAACAGAACAAAACAAAAAGAATAGACACTGGATAGAAATGACTTACTTTGTTTTTAATATTTTTTAGATTTACTTATTTAATGTGTATGAATGTTTTGCTTACAAGTACGTCTGTGTACCATGTATGTTCCTGGTACTCATGGAGGTCTGAAGAGGCCATCAGATTCCCCCAGAACAGGAATACAGTTATGAGTATCATGAGAGTGCTGGACATAAAACCTGGGTCCTCTGCAAGACCAAGTGTTTAACCACTGAACATCCCTCCAGCCCGACTGCTGTTGTTTTTGGTTGGTTGGTTTTTTGAGGCAGGATCTTACTTTGTAACTCTAGCTGTCCTGGAACTAGCTCTTGTAGACCAGGCTGGCCTCCAACTCATAGAGATCTGCCTGCCTCTGCCTCCCGAGTGCTGGGATTAAAGGCACTGAGCCTGAGCCAGATTTGTTTTTGAGAAAGCATCTTGTGATCTAAGATCATCTTGAATTTCTGATCCTTCTGCCTCTGCCTCCTGAGTGATAGAATTACAGGCATGTGCCACCATGCAGGGCTCCACTCTTTGTCACTCTTCTTCTAGTTTCCTGTGTCTTAAACTGGTCTCAGACTCACTATGTATGTAGCTAAGAATGACTTTGAATGTCTGTTCCTCCTACCTCTACCTCCTGAGGGTTGGAATCACAAATGTGTGCACTATCCTCAGATTACGGAAGGTGGGGGTTCAACCCAGGGTTTTGTGCCTCTAGCAACTGAGCCACTGTCCGAGCCCACGTCAGGATATGTGGAAACATATGCTTGTGTTTTTGTGTACACACATGTTTAAGCACATGGGTACCACACGTGTGTGGATGGTCCACATGGTAAGATTTCATTTCCAAGAGTCTTTTAAAGGCTGGGAATATAACTTTGTCATACAAGCACTTAGCTAGCATACATGAAACCCTGAGTTTGGTCCTCAGTGCTGAAAAGGCATTCTTTTGATATTGATTTGAGTATGAATATTAACAGTGTTGGTGGGGTGGATCGAGGGTAGAGTGTGTGATTGGCACATGGGAGGCCCTGAGTGTAATCCTTAGGTCTATCACCAAAAACATAAAAAGGCTAATGAGATGCATCACCCAGCTGGCCCGTCACCCCACCCTGGAGAAGTCAGCTGCCCCAGCTTCAGGTTTACCTGTCAGGCAGGCCAAAAACCTATGCAGATGTGAAACAAAGTGATTTCGGATGCTCTCAGGCCAAGTTGTATTCATAAAAATCTGCGGGACATAAACACCACTGAGCAGCCGAAGCAAAGCTGGGATGTAGGCGCCCCGCACTGTCCCAAACTGCACAGTTGTCTCAAAGTTCTCCGGGGTGATGGGAACAGGAGCTTGCCGAATGAAGTACACAATCTGATTCTGAGTCTGCAGGAAAGAGCAGATCCGAGTTTAGTCTCCAGGACCCACCAAGATGCCCAAAGAAACCCGATGCTCCCCTGGTGAAAGACAGGCTGAGCTCTTTGTCAATGTCCCTACCTCCTGTCCTTCCCAGGGATGTAGATTCCACACCCAAACATGTGGGGAGGAAATGAACAAAACATGCCTTAAGGGTACAGACTCTATTTTGTTCAACTTGAACCACAAGTCTAACACACTATGTCCAGCATGTAGTAGATGATCAATAAATGCTTATTGGGTGAATAGGTAGATGGACAGGATAGAATAGGTACTTTTTCCAGCCATGGAAAAAGAAAGGAGAAAAAAAAGAGATCAAGAAAGAAAATTGCACGTAAGAAATAATTATCGGGCGGTGGTAGCACACATTTTAAATCCCAGGTCTCAAGAGGCAGAGGCAGGCAGAACTCCAAGTTTAAGGATAGCCTGGTCTACAGAATGAGTTCTGAGACAGCCAGGGCTACACAGAGAAACCCTATGAAAAACCAAAAAAGGAAAAATTATCTAGGATTTCTCATTTCAGTTGCTCCCCCCCATCTCAAATTGGCGTGGAACTTCCTGCACAGCTGAGGACAAGCTCTTGGGCACAGGGTTGACAGTGCACACGTCAGCTTCACACCAGGCTTCGCTTCGCATCCTCTTCCCCAGTTCCCTTTCACACTCAGCTTTACCCCCCCGGCCCGGGCCGGGCTCTGCTGTGGCCACATTCAGAACTGCAGCTTTGCTCGGTTATGAAACAAAACCAAAAGATGCTTTGCTCCGGTATCCGTCACAGGGATGAAAAGGTCTGACCAACATACACAGATAAAGGAGAATCCTGCTATTTTTTTAAAGGTATTACATCTAATTTTGTTTGAATTTAATAGAATAAAAAGAAACTGAAGTTGATACAAGGATTGCTAAGCTTCAAATAAATGTCTCTTCACCCAGAGACATTTCCAAATGATCCCTTGTTTCTCTAGTGCCAGGGACTGGTTACTAGATCTCACACACGCTAAGTACATGCTCTACTGGGAAACTACATCCCTACCCAATTTTCCAGACTTATTAATTATTGTTTGTGTGTGTGTGTGTGTGTGTGTGAGAGAGAGAGAGAGAGAGAGAGAGAGAGAAAGAGAGAGAGAGAGAGAAAGAAAGAGAGAGAGAGATTATGGAGATTGTGGGTATTTGGGATG